CAGGAAGAGCTCTTTTCCAGGCTACATCAGGTGCCTGCAGCTTTTCCAGCCCACTCCTCAGGCAAAAATAGCTTGCTCCTAAAAACAGCACCGAGAGATTCCTCTCCCTTGGAAACAAGCTCCTGGCGCAGCCTCAGAGCTGTTCCCAAGCTCTGGAATGAGGCCAGCCGGAGATGGACATGGATAGACCTGCAACGAGGGGGGCTTCAGAGCATTCCCAACAGCTCGATATGGAGCTGACTTGGCAAAGGGGAAGCTTTTCCCTGCTCTGTTAGCTCCTGGTGCAGATCATCCCATCCCATCCCATCCCATCCCATCCCATCCCCATCCCATCCCCATCCCATCATTTGGGGGCCATCAAAGCAACTAAAGCCACTGAAAGGCTGTAGAAGGGCTGGAGGGGGAAGATCTTCACTTAGGAAGAGACCCGACCCACATTGTCCATCCTTGGAGCAACCTGAGCCAGTGGAAGGTGGCCCCTGGTGGCACTAGAAGTTCCCTCCCAAGGTTGAGGCCACAAAGCCAACGTTCTTGCACCCACTTTTATTCCACGAGCAGCTTTACACCGAGGTCAATCCATCCATGATGGAGGAGGAGTGACATGAAGCATCACCACACGTTGGGGTCTCCTCCTGGCCTCTGTTGCTTGCAACGGGCCACCGAAGCCACGGTCATCTCCAAGAGCCACAAGGACAAGTGAAACACGGGACTAAGAGCTCAAGCAAGCAACTACTACGAGTTTACACCGGGCTGACACTACACAGCGAGCATGTGGCAGGTCTACTGCAACTGGTGTCTCCAGCAGGGAGCACGGCAGATCCTTGCCCTGGAATGGGCAACGTGGCACCTACCAGAAGCTAATGGAGAGGACATCTGAGGACCCTCCAGAGACCACCTAAAGCAATGGGTTTGATAGGTAGAAGCTACTTTGGAAGCTCATTGAAGCCTTTATGGGGAAGGGAAGAGTCTCCCAAGTCCCTTTTTGCCTTCCTGATGGAGACAGTGCCTGAATTCCATGAGTTTTCCCAGCAAAGCAGCAAGGAAAAGCTGTCCAAGCATCTCCATCAAGATGGGTTAAAGGAAGAGCCTCTTCCATAGCCTAAACCTGGAGATGTCCACGTTAATAGATGGGATCCGTGAGCAGCAGATCCCAGACACAGCTAAAGCTAACCAGGAATATCCCTATGGAAAGAAAAGCTTCCCCGGAGCCATTCCCATCACTTTGCACTTTTCCAGCCTCACTTGTGCCTCTGGAGCCTGTGTCTTTCCCAAGGGAAGCCACGGTGGGAGCCATGGGCAGGCCAAGGAATGTCCTGGCATAAATGGGAGCAGCTTTGGGCAGAAGGAGCTTTTTGTCCAGGAAACACCTGGGCAAACACCTCTCTAGATCCATATTCCCGATTTTTCCCACCTGCCAGGGAGCTGTGGGGATTCTTTACACATCCAGGCTTCCAGCCTCTGGGAGCAGCAGCGTTGCCAAGTCTCTTTGCAGAGGGGACCATCCCCTTGGGATCACCCATGGCTCATCCAACCATCAAGCTCTTCCCAACTCCAAGGTGAGGAGCTCCTCAGGAAGATCCATGCTCCAAGAGCCATCCCTCCCCCATCATTCCATGGTCTTTAGGAGACTATCCCTGTAAACACGAGACCTTGGGGAACACTGAGCTTCTGGGATGAGCCTCCAAAGGAGATCCCTGTTGGATGAGGGAAGTCAACATCCTGCTTGGAACAGGCTGCTCCTGAGCAGCACAGAGGTGCTGGTCCTCCTGCCCCATTCCAAGGACACCCTTCTCCAACGCCAACGTCACCTTCTCCTTCCGGCTGCCAAGAGGAGAGCAGAAGGTGGTGGAGCCCATCGGGAAGGATGGAGAAGAAGGAGGAACCCTGGAAGAAGCTGGGATGAGGGGCTTTACCTTAGACCATGAAGCGATGCTCCTTGCCATCGTGAGCCATGAGGATGACGTTCCTGTTGGAGGTCCAGATGAGCCTGGCCAGCTTGAGGGCATTGTGGGAGCCTGGAGAAGCTGGTTGGACAGGGGGGACCTGGTAGGTTTTGATGCAGCGCAGTTGGGGGGCCGAGTTCAACATGCCAATGCTCCCCAGGAGAGACGTGTTCATCTGCAAGGACAACCAGGCCTGAGCCAACAGGGCCCAGGCCATCTGGAGCTCCTCCCACCCTCAACCTGGAGCTCCTCCCACCTCCAACCTGGAGCTTCTTCTACCTCCAACCTGGAGCTCCTCCCACCTCCAACCTGGAGCTTCTCCTACGTCCAACCTGGAGCTCCTCCCACCTCCAACCTGGAGCTTCTCCCACCCTCAACCTGGAGCTCCTCCCACCTCCAACCTGCAGCTTCAACCTGGAGCTCCTCCCACCTCCAACCTAGAGCTTCTTCCACCTCCAACCTGGAGCTCCTCCCACCTCCAACCTGGAGCTTCTTCTACCTCCAACATGGAGCTTCTCCCACCCTCAACATGGAGCTTCTCCCACCCTCAACATGGAGCTTCTCCCACCCTCAACATGGAGCTTCTCCCACCCTCAACCTGGAGCTTCTCCCACCCTCAACATGGAGCTTCTCCCACCTCCAACCTGGAGCTCCTCCCACCTCCAACCTGGAGCTCCTCCCACCCTCAACATGGAGCTTCTCCCACCTGCACCCTGCTCTAGCAGAAGGAGATGACCTTAAGGTCCCTTCCAAGCCAAGGCAGCTGTAGAGGCCCATTGCTGGTGGCTGGGAGCTCCTCCTCACCTGCCAGAAGCAGAGGTGGCTGTCAGAGTTGGAGTAGGTGGCAAGGTACCGGCCATCAGGAGCAAAAGCCACCGCAGTTATGGGTCCTTTGTGGCCATGGATGGTCTGGGAAGAGAGGGCAAGAGGAGGAAGGTGGGAGATTCAAAGCCCAGCAGCATGATGGAGCTCACCAGGCTTCAAGGAGACACATGGACCTGGGCTTCTAGAGACCTGCTTTGGTGAAGAGCCTTTGGAAGGGGGCTACAAAGAGGCTGGAGCTGGACCTTCCTCAGGGATAGTGATGGGACAAGTTGGGATGGGTTCAGAGCTCAGGGTGGCTCTAAGGAAAGAATTCCTTATGCTGAGGGTGGTAGGACACTGGAACAGGCTGCCCAAGGAAGTTGGGAATGCTCCATCCTTGCCTGGCTTCCAGGTCACCCAGTGGAAGGTGTCCCTATGGGAAGTGGATGAGCTTGAAGGTGTCTTCCAAGCCAAAGCATTCCAAGCCTCCCAGCACGATCCAGCAGCTCAGCACGAGCTCCCTGCTCTTCCCTCGGCTAAGTCGCAAGGATAAAGCATGGAATTCCATGGATCTCCTCACCTGGCACTTCCCAGTGCGGATGTCATAGAGGGCCACGGAGCCATGGCGGGCTCCCACCGCTATCCTGTGGCTCCGCTCGTAATAGCTCACCATATAGAACCTGGAAGATGGAGATGGACCATCAGGAGCCAAGGAAGCTGTGGAGCTCTGAGCTGCCTGGAGGAGGGGGCACTTCCTAGAATCCCAAGATTGCCTTGGAAAAGACCTTAAAGCTCAGCCAATGCCAACAGGGCCACCACCTTCCCTTGGGACAGGTCGCTCCCAGCCCCATCCAACCCTTGGGTGCTTCATGGATGTTGCTTGAAGGGCAAGCAGGGAACAACCTGCTCTAGTGGATGGTGGCCCCGTCCACGGGAGGAGGTTGGAATTGGATGAGCTTTAAGGTCCTTTCCAACCCCTCTTGGTGGAAGGTTCTTTTCTTGCTGGAGGGAAGAACTCACCTGCAGATGGCTGGAAAACATTCCTGAAGCCCCTTCTTCTTGACTAAAGAGCCTTCAAGGCAATACATGATGATGTCCATAACCTTGGAGAGAAGAGCTCACATCACTTACGCTCTCCCCATGCCCTGGGGGCCCTGGGGACAACCCGCGAGCAGCTCACCTCCACCAGCAGGTCCACCACGTCGCTCGGCATCTTCTCAATGAGGATCTCAATGACCCTCAGGATCTCCCCTTTGGCGCGGGCCAGGGTGGTGGTGTGGATGTTCTGCTGGGACTGCGTGTTGGCCGCGAGGGCCGTGTGCCGGTGCACCTGCAGGGAGGTTCGAGCACACCGTGGAGGGGATGGAGGGATGGCCTTTGGGAAGGGGAGAGGGACGTTCCAAAGGCTGCATCCCGAAGGAAGAGGTGCTGCTTGGCCCCACTCACCTCCTTGGCGATGGTGGTGATGAAGGCGGGAGGCCTGGCGGTGGCAATGAGGGACAGAGCGTGGCGCGCGGAGCGGGCCGAGTCAGCGGCCGGGCTCAGGGGTAGGCCCATGGTGATGCTGAGAGGTCCCCGGGGAGGAGGAGACAAAGAAGAGGAGCCTGAGAAGCTCGGAAAGTCATTTTTTTTTCAACGGGGCCACCCGTGGCCCTTCCGCACCCCGCCGGGCCAAGGGGGAACGGCCTTGACCTGCTGGAGGGGACGCTGCGACGGGCTGGAGGCAGAAGACACCTGGAGAGGGGCTTTGGGCAAGGGGTGGGACAACCGGGAATGGCTTTAACGTGCGCGAGGGGCCGCTGGGACGGGCTGGGAGGCCGAAGCTCCTCACCGCGAGCGTGGCGGCTCACTGGAATGGCCTGGAAGGAGAAGCTGGCCCTCAAGTTGGATGTGGGGGGAGAAGGCAGCTGGGACCAGGGAGCCCCGGAGAAGCTGGAGCAGCTCAAGAGGCCCCGGCGGGTGGGGAAGGGCAGGATCCAGGCTCCAGAGAGCCTGGGAGCCACCTACTTGGCCAAGAGCTTCTCAGCGTCAGCGCAGAGCTCCAGGAGGCCCATGAGCACGGCCGACACGTCCATGTAGGGCTCCCAGACGGTGAAGCCGCGGCCGATGAGGTCGGAGGCGGCGCTGCGG